TGTTAGCCACGATGGTCTTGATCTCCTGACCTCATGATCCGCCTGTCTCGGCCTCCCAAAGTGCTGGGATTACAGGCATGAGTCACTGCACCCGGCCATATTTATTTATTTTTATTTTTTTTGAGATGAAGTCTCACTCTGTTGCCCAGGTTGGAGTGCAGTGGTGTGATCTCAGCTCACTGCAACCTCTGTCTCCTGGATTCAAGTGATTCTCCTGCCTCAGCCTCTGAGGAGCTGGGATTACAGGCACCCGCCACCATGTCCAGCTAATTTTTGTATTTTTAGTAGAGATGGGGTTTCACCACGTTGGCCAGGCTGGTCTCGAACTCCTGACCTCAGGTGATCTGCCCACCTTGGCCTCCCAAAGTGCTGGGCTTACAGGCATGAGCCACTGCGCCCGGCTAACACATATTTATACACGTATGTTCACAGCAGCATTGTTCACAAGAGCCAAAACGCAGAAGTAACCCAAGTATCCACCAACAGATGAACTGATTAACAAAACGTCATGTATATGTGTGTATGTATGTGTATACATTGCAACACATTGTATGTATATACATCTCACATATATTCATACAATGAAACATTATTCAGCTTTAAAAAGGAAAGAAATTCTGACACAGGCGACAACATAGATAAACCTTGAGAACATTATGCTAAGTGAAATAGCCAGTCACAGGCTGGGCGCGGTGGCTCATGCCTGTAACCCCAGCACTTTGGGAGGCCAAGGCGGGCAGATCACCTGAGGTCAGAAGTTTGAGACCAGCCTGGCCAACATGGTGAAACCCCATCTCTACTAAAAACATAAAAATTAGCCAGGCGTGGTAGCAAGTGCCTGTAATCCCAGCTATTTGGGAGGCTGAGGTAGGAGAATAGCTTGAACCCAGGAGGTGGAAGCTGCAGTGAGCAGCCCCCAATTTTTTATAAGATTGTATAATTTTTACCAATGTACAGCTCTGTGACTTCTCATTGAACTCCAGCCTGGGCAAGAAGAGCAAAACTCCATCCCTCACCCCCCCCGAAAAAAAGCCAGTCACAAAATGACAAATACTGTAAGATTTCACTTATATGAGGCAGTCAGAGAAGTCAAATTCATAGAGACAGAAAGTAGTTTTCAGAGTTTCAGTTTTGCAAGATGAAGAGCATTCTAAAGTTGGATGGTGGTGATGGCTGCGTAACATGAATGTACTTAACACCACAGAGCTGTACACTGGAAATGGCTAAAATGGTAAACCATTTTATGTTACATATATTTTGCCACAATTAAAAATACATTTTTAAAAAGTAAACTAAGAAAAGGTATCTATGTAATAGATCTCAGAACCTTTATTATTGTAATTAAGGTAAAAATTATACAATCTTATAAAAAATTGGGGGCTGATTACATTTCTGAACTTCTGGAACTGAGAGAACATTTGGAAAGAGAGTAAGTGCTGTGGACTTTCCATGATCCACACGCCAAGCCAAAGAGGTGATTAGCAGGCTTAAACTACTGATTTCCAATCAGAAAGTTAAAAAAAAAAAAATCATACTTTGTCAAAGAGAACAGCAACAAACGGCCAATAAACCCAGGAGTTACACAATAGAAGCTGAATTGTGCAGCACACCGAGACCCTCCGGTCTCTCCAGCACCGCATTCTTGACTGCGAACGTGTTCTCAGAAAGCGAGGATTTTCATGACGTCACCTGGCTATTGCATTGCACTGATAACACATCATTCAACACTGCACGACCCCTCACAAAGGCAGGCAGTGCCTCTGAATGAACATGAGGACATCTGGAAGGACATATTCTAGGAGTCATTAGCAATTAGATCTAAAGTGTCCCAGTCCACTTGCCTCTCCTTCCCACGTAATCCAGCCTTTTAATCTCTCCAGTAAGCTAGGATCCTGGGAATACTGAGGAGCAGGACTTCTTTCTCTCTGAAAAGGCCTCTGTGCTCACATTTCTAAATAGCTATAGATCCTAAGAGGGCAGAAGGCAATGGGGGAAATAGGACAGGATGCCTTGGTGGGGGAAGTCCCGGGCTCAGTGCCTGGGAACTGACAAGAAGCATGGGCCTAGAGAGTCATCGTAGCCCTGTCTACTCTGCACCCCACTACCATCCAGCCAACCCCTGGGCCACACCTCCTGTCCTCACTGTCCAACAGAGCAGGATCTGTGGGATCCGGCTGCGGGCTCCAGGAAGGAGGCAGCAACTTCCTCCAGTGCCTGAATTCCAAGCACTGCACCCTGGAGAGTGCGAGAGCTTAACTAATTCTCAAATCAGGACACACAGACAAACGCTCTGAGAAATGGCAGAGAACTCAAGGAGGGTGAGTGATGTTGCATCAACATGCGCCAAATACCTTGAGACAACGCAGCACTGGCAGGCACTCGGCTGCAGAGTCAGAGAGCCCAGACTGAAACCCCAACCCTCTTGCCAACTTGCTGTGTGACCTTGGTAAGTTCCCTAACCTCTCTGGGCCACAGCTGCCTCATCTGGAAGGTGAGGACAAGGGAAAATGTAAATGTCTATAAAATCCCTCAGTTCATGGCACCTGTCACTACTGCCAGGTGAGCTTTCCACAGCATCTAACAAGATTTTTGAACTGTATTGTCACTTTACTCTTTTTTGAATATGAAATCTTGACCAAATGATAACAATGTACTGTTCTCCTCCTGGAGGCAAATCAAGTGTAATTTGGTGAGAAGGGAAGAGAAAGGGAGTGGATTCAGAAATAACATTCTCATAAATAAAAAAGCACAAAAGAAACTCAGTAATTGACAAAATCTTGTAATACCTGACTCCCTCATGGAATCCCAGCAAATGTCAGAAGGATTCGGATACAGCCCATGTTGAACTAAAGCTGGAGTCTCCCCTTGCACCAATTCAATTCCAGAAGCGTTTGCTAGGGCCTGCTGTGTACTTAGCCCTCAGCTGCTCGGCGCTGCTGCCTACAACCCAGCCAGTCCTTTCTTTCTCTTCAAGGAACCAAGGGCTTCTGCACCTACTGCAGACGTAGAGGGCAGGCTGCCCTCACCCAGACCTCCTGGGCTGAGTCCCCTGAGGTCACAGCAGTCTGGGCTGACCCTAGAGTCTCACTAAGTCAGGCCTCTCCTTTCCAAAGCCACCCTGCCCTGAGTCAGCCCCTCAAAAACACCCCCAGCCCTCACATACATGCAGATAAGCGAGCCAGCTTCCAGGAGGCAGCCTGGACTGGTAAAGCAGGTTTCTGGTGCTCAGCTTGTTCAGAATAAGGAAATGCATTTTGTTTTCCAGAGCCAGGTGATGGGCAACGTCCTTTCGATCCCAGGCACCTGCTCTCCCTTCACTGACGCGATGAAGACAGCCTGTCTGGGCCTTCTGGTATCTTTGTTTGATTTCTGTTGGGTCAACAGTTACCGGTTTGGCAAATAGCAGTTGCGAGCCGCACACAGAAAATCGTGGTCGCAAATTCTGAGAAACGCTGAGGGGGAAGGACTCTTGGGAGTTTCATGGTCCAATAGTTCTATTCTTCAGCTTCTCCTGCCTGAAAAGAGGGGGAGGCCTGAGCATTCTAGCTGCCCTGGGTTTGGGGTCAGCCCTGGGGCTGGAAAACTGTTCTTTCTTCTGTTTTTCTATAGCAGGAAGAATGTCAAGCTATGGAGTCTCCCTGAAATACAGACAGGGATCTGCGCTTCCACCAAGGACACCACAGTCCCAAACAGGTGGGCTGTGCCTCCTGCCAGCCAGAGCCTTGGCCTCTTCTTAGGTCTGATGCTCGCCCTCTGGCCCCAGACTTGACCTAGGAGTTCAGAGTCACCAGGAGAGGAGTCAGAAGGTGAAAGCTTCTTAACGGGAAGCGACCATTCATCATCCCTATTCTGTGGCCTTTCAGTTGCTGCTCAGCGCTCTTCACTTGCACTGATTCCTTTCTTAGTACCAATTACAGGCAAAACTTTGTGCTGGGCCTGGGGAGACTGGGCAGGAGGCTTCCCCATTCAGGGGAGCAGTCAGGCAGAAAGAAACTACTGCTTTGTGGTAGATTCATGTTAGGAGAAAACACATATACAAGCCCCTATACAAGGTGGGACAAAGATGGCAAGGAAGGCTCCCAGGGAGAAGTGGCCCTTTAGCTGAAGTTCGCCAGGTGAGGCAGCACACGGAGGTAGTGTCAGAGCACAGGGGGCACACAGGGTTGACACAAAGGAAAGATTAAGCAAGGGGACAAAGAGAATGAGAGGTTTTCAAGATTAAGGTGTATTAGAATCATCTGGGTAGCATATTAAAAATGCAGTTCCCGGAAGCCCCACTGAGATTCTGATTCAGTAGGCTTAAGGTGGGGCCCAGGAATCTGCATTTTACAAGCTCCTCTGGGGAGTCTAAAGCAGGAAGTCTGTGGACCACACTCCGAGAAATCCTGCTTTGAAGGAATGGGAAAAAAAAAAAAAAAAGCTATTTGTGGCTTTGATGGAATATTGGTTTATTTTCCTGGAATGTTCCCAAAGGGACTTTGGACAGCTCACTAATGACTCGTTCTTCAGTCATGCTACACACACATACATGCCAACGTCAAACGAACTGGAAATGAATCTGGGGGGTGCCAGCAGCCTCCCTCACACTGATGGACTGAGTGTCTTCTGAGACAGGCGGGGGAGTGTTATCTCAGGAATGTGTTGGGGCAACGTCCGTGCTTCCAATAAAATGCTGTGCACAGGTGAGCCAGGGCCTGGCGAGGGCAGTGTCCTAATCCCTGACGGGAAAGCCCTCTGGAATCTGGCCACACCTCCTTGCCACCCTCATGCCAGGAAAGGTTAGGCACTTCCCTGGCCTCTCAGACTCTCTGCAGCCTGTGGCTGGCTCCCGCTCCCCACCGGTACCCAATCCCACACCTGGAGCCCACCTCTGGCTTCCCAGGACTGCTCCAGGCTTAGGTTTCCCCTGGCTGGGGCCAGGGTTTATGTTCAGGGGCCCCGGCTCACCCAACCAAAGCCTTGGCCCAAAGCATCATTGTGCTAGTCCCCTCACAGCAATATTTCTTTTCTTTTCTTTTTTTTTTTTTTTGAGATGGAGTTTCACTCTTGTTGCCCAGGCTTGAGTCCAATGGCGATCTCGGCTCACCACAACCTCTGCCTCCTGGGTTCGAGTAATTCTCCTGCCTCAGCCTCCCGAGTAGCTGGGATTACAGGACGTGCACCACCACACCTGGCTAATTTTGTGTTTTTAGTAGAGACGAGGTTTCTCCATGTTGGTCAGGCTGGTCTCGAACACCCAACCTCAGGTGATCCACTCGCCTTAGTGTTCCAAAATGCTGGGATCACAGGCATGAGCCACCACGCCTGGCCCCCTCACATCAATATTTCTCCCAGGCAGCTTGTGACTTACTTTGCCAGCTCAACTCCCTGCCTGGGAAACTTATTGTAGACTCCAGTTCCTCCTTGTCTTGTTCTTGCCTCTGTTCTCTGACGACTGGAATCCTGCCTCTGTGCTTGCCACCAGTGTCTGCCAAGCCACTCCTCATTGCTTATTAGAGCCAACAGGCACTACCCTGCCATGAGTGCTCCCACCTGTGACTGGCCCTCAGCCTCTGTCCCGTGTTCTGCAGCCCTGGTGACCTCCTGCATAGCCTGAGACTGCTCTGATCTTTGGCACCTGACCTTCTTGGTAGAGCACTGAGACCTCAGGACCTTGCATTTTCTCTGCAGGTGTGAACCCCTATCAACTGAGCTCCAATGCCCCACCCGGCTTCAATCTCTTATTTCACATGGGGCTCTGGGAATGAGCTGTGAAGCTCCTTTCTCTAGATAGTATTTATAGCTGGTTGTAAAAGTCCACTGTTTATTGATACCACAAGTATGTAGTGTGCCCTAGATCTGAACTAGAAAGAGGCACAGGCAGCCACAAAAGCAAAAAAGAAAAACAACAGAAGTAGTATTGAACGGTCAGTGCTACTCAGTGTTAACATGCGGAAGTACCTCTGGGGATCTGGTTAAAATTCACATTCTGATTCAGGGGATCTGGGGTGCAGCCAGGGATTGTGCATTTCTTTTTTTTTTTTCTTTTTTGAGACAGTCTCGCTCTGTCACCCAGGCTGGAGTGCAGTGGTGCAATCTCGGCTCACTGCAACCTCCACCTCCTGGGTTCAAGCAATTATCCTGCCTCAGTCTCCTGAGTAGCTGAGATAACAGATGCCCGCCACCATGCCTGGCTAAGTTTTGTATTTTTAGTAGAGACGAGGTTTTGCCATGTTGGCCAGGCTGGTCTCAAACTCCTGAACTCAGGTGACCCACCCATCTCGGCCTCCCAAAGTTCTGGGATTACAGGCGTGAGCGCTGTGCCTGGCTGGGATTCTGCATTTCTGATAAACTCCCAGGCAATGCTGATGTGCTGGTCCATGGCCCACACTTTGAGTAGCAAGAGGGTAGGAATCACACAGACAAACAGGAGTCTGCCACAGGGGTTTGAGGCAGAAACCACCAGGCCCTGTGAACTGCCATGAGCATTCAGAGCAATTTACTTTTGAAGTTCTGAGAAAGAATGTCCTTAGACTGGGCACAGTGGCTCATGCCTGTAATCCTTGCACTTTGTGAGGCCAAGGCGGGTGGATCACTTGAGGTCAGGACTTTGAGATCAGCTTGGTCAACACGATGAAACCCTGTCTCCACTAAAAATGCAAAATTAGCCGGGCGTGGTGGCATACACCTGTAGTCCCAGCTACCTGAGAGGCTGAGACAGGAGAATTGCTTGAGTCTGGGAGACGGAGGTTGCAGAGATCATGCCACTGCAATCCGCCTGGGCAACAGAGCAAGACTCTCAAAAAAAAAAGAATGTCCTTAGGATGCCAATCACCCATGACCTACCCTGCGTGGGCAGCTGCTGCGGTTGGCACCACATGACCCCTGATGTCTCCCGTACCAAGTGAGTCCAGCTCAAGGCTGGTTCTGTGATATTTTCAAATCAGCATCTCTCATGAGTTGTAGTGGCTGAGCTGATGGGTTAGGAGACACAGGCTGGGGCCATGAAGTCCACTGCGGTCACCTGCAAACTAATGCTGTGATACTGTAATAACTGTTGACATTTTAAAGTATTTACGATGAGCCTTGCTTCTTGGCTAAGTGCCTTAAATAAGATAATCCATGCTTAATTCTCACAACAACCTTTCAAAGTAGATGGCAGTTTAAGAGCACAAGCTCTGGAGCCAGACAACTTGAGCTTGAATCCTGGCTTTGCCACTTCCTAGCTGTGCAACCTTAGGCACATTACTTAATCTCCCCTCTGCCCCCATGTCTTCATCTCTAAATGACGATAGTATTAGTACCTTTCTCAGAAGGTTGGTGTGATGGTTAGTTGAGCTAATAAATATAAAACTTAGAGCAGTGCTTGGCACTCAATAAAATCTTGGTTACTATTGCTTTTTTTTTTTTTTTTTTTTTTTTTTGAGACAGTCTCGTTCTGTCACCCAGGCTGGAGTGCAGGGGCACAATCTCGATCACTGCAACCTCTGCCTCCCAGGTTCAAGTGATTCTCCTGCCTCAGTCTTCTGAGTACTTGGGATTACAGGCATATACCACCATGCCCGGCTAATTTTTGTATTTTTGTATTTTTTTTTTTTTTTTAGACTGAGTCTCGCTCTGTCACCTAGGCTGGAGTGCAGTGGCGTGATCTCGGCTCACTGCAACCTCTGCTTCCTGGGTTCAAGCGATTCTCCTGCCTCAGCCTCCTGAGTAGCTAGAACTACAGACACCTGCCACCACACCCAGCTAATTTTTTATATATCATTTTTAGTAGAGATGGGGTTTTGTATGTTGGCCAGGCTGGTCTTGAACTCCTGACCTCAGGTGATCCACCTGCCTTGGCCTCCCAAAGTGCTGGGATTACAGGCATGAGCCACGGTGCCTGGTCTATTATCACTCTTAGCCTTATTTTTACAAAGCAAGGGAACAGGCTCAAAGTGATTAAGCAGCTTGCCAGGGTCACACAGTTAGTAAGAGGCAGAACTGACTGATAAATGAGGGTTTTAGGAGGCAGAGGAAACCATGACATGGGTGGGCAGATATAGAGGGAGGTGTGGGGAGATGCTGCTGCCTGGGTTCCTCATGCCTCCCTGTTGCAGCCTCCACCTGCCCAGCAGCAGGGGCCACTATTCCTTGCCTCGGATTCCTTTCCATTTGGTCTAGGAAATAATTCCTTAGAGGGATTTTGAAAAACCAAAGAGCTTCTTTCTAGAGCCATCTTGTATGGGCCTCTGTAGCCTTTGACCAGAAAGGGCCTGACTTGAAGCAGACCCCTTCCTGCTGGAAGTAGGGAGGGAGGCGGATGACGGATATCTCTTGGAGCAGGAGGCACTACGTGCTGCCTGGGAGGGGAGGGGAGCCATCAAGGCATACAGGTAGGGCTGGGGAGCTGCAGTCCAGCAGTAAGAATGGCAAAGTGCAGGGCATGCTTGGGAACTGACACCAACCCAAGGGGGCTAGAAGCCAAGGACCAATGAAGAGAACTCAGCAACCATGGCTACCAATTATTGGCACCTGCAAGGGTGATGGGCACTCTGCAAAGTGCTTACTTTATTTATTCAGTTTAATCCTCATAAAAACTGCATGAAGTAGTGTGGTTATGTAAGAGAATAACCTTATTTCTTAGGAAATTCACACTAATGTATTCAGCAGTAAAAAACCAAAACAAAAAAAACCAGTATCTCCAAGTTATGTTTTTGTTTGTTTGTTTGTTTTTGTTTTTTTAAGACAGGGTCTCCCTCTGTCACCCAGGCTGGAGTGCAGTTGCACAATCACGGCTCACTGCAGCCATGACCCCCTGGGTCCAAGTGATCCTTCCACCTCAGCATTCCACAAGATGATGGAACCACAGGCATGCACTACTATGCCTGGCTAATTCTTTTATTTTTTGTACAGACGGAGGTCTCCTTATGTTGCCCAGGCTGGTCTTGAACCCCTAGGCTCAAGTTATCCTCCCACCTTGGCCTCCTAAAGTGCTGGATTTACAGGCATGAGCCACACTGTGCCCAGCCTCCAACTTACTCTTAAATGGTGTTTGTTTATACATAAATATTATATATATATCTGTAAATGATATACATTATGTGTGTGTATATATATTTGGATACATTATATATACTCAGAGATACAGAAATGGTGTGTGTGTGTGTACATATATATATAAACACACAATTTAAATTGTTTATATATAGAAATATATGTAATATATTCAGAAAGAATAAGTGAATATAAGGTAAATGGTCAACACACACACAAAACTGATAAATCTGGGTAAAGGGCATATGGAAATTTCTTGTACTATTTTTGAAATTTTCCTATATGTTTGAAATATCAAAATTAAAGAGACACAAAAATATTACCTGGGAAAGGTCTTCTTAAGACACTTAAAAACAGGATGAGGTAAACACTATCATTCTCATTCTTACAGATGAGGAAAGTGAGGCAAAATATGAGGTGCTTAGAAGATGAGGGTGAGACCAGCTTCCAGAAGGTCAGCAGTGTGTCCCCCAGCACCCCAAGGGGATAGGGAAGCGGGAGGGCTGGTCCGCGCTGGGTTGTGTTATACTGAGCTGGTACCTTCTCACGGTAATGGCAGAAAAGGCAACAGGCAAAGTTGTTTGAGACCAGAACGGGAATCAGTGTTCGATTTGTTGTAGTTTGTCGTGCTTGTCTAGACACAGAAATGATGTCCAGTGGGTACCCAGAAACAGACACCTGTGGCTTCACGGTTGAGGGCTTGGGGACACAGGACACCCCTAGGGAAAAGCAAAGAGGGAGAGGTGTCTATTTTCTACTAAGACAGAGTGAGAGGTCTCTGTTTTCTAAGACAGAGGGAGAGTGGTCTATTTTCCACTAAGCTTCTATAGGAGTAAACAGAAAAAGAATGAGGTGTCAGAGCTTGCAAAATAAAAGGTGGCAGAACTTGGCAGCTAGATGAAGGAAGATGGAATGGAGATGGATGTTTCTGGAAACAGGGGTTGCCTGTGGAGAGGGGGCTGGGTAGGTGGGGACCAGGTGGGAG